ACCTCCACTGAACGCATGTACCTACTAAGTGTGAGTGCCGAGTGCTGAGTGACTGGGAGGCATGAGTGATTGTGAGGTATGCCTGAGTGGCAAGAGTGATTGTGAGGTCAGTGATGTGTCTTTCATGGTCGGGGAGAAAGTTCTGCTGAAGGTATCACCCATGAAGGGTGTTATGAGGTTTGGGAAGAGGGACAAGTTGATCCCTCGGTTCATTGGGCCTTTTGAGGTACTTCAGAGGATCAGAGAAGTGGCTTACAAGCTTGCCTTGCCACCTACCTTGTCGAGTGTGCATCCAGTATTTCATGTTTCTATGCTCCGAAAGTATATCGACGATCCATGCCATGTGTTTGGATTTTAGCACGGTTCAGTTGGATAGTGATATGACTTATGATGTGGAGCTGGTGGCCATTTTGGAGCGGCAGGTTCGGAAGTTGAGGTCAAAGGATATAGCTTTAGTGAAGGTGCATTGGAGAGGTCAGCCTGTGGAGGAGACCACTTGGGAGACCGAACGGGAGATGCGGAGAAAATATCCACACCTATTTGAGACTCCAAGTATATTTCTAGACCCGTTCGAGGACGAACGTGTGTTTAAGAGGGGGAGGATGTAACGACCCGGCCGGTCGTTTAGAGAGTTATAGCCCCGTTTCTCCCATTTCTGCTTCTTTTGTGCTTTACAACTGTATTATGTCTTACCCGGTTGGTTAGTTCGGGTCCAGAGTGGTTTTAGAGTGAATTGAGATACTTAGTCTCTTAATTGGAAGCTTAAGTTGGAAAAGTCGATCGGATGTCGACTTGTGGGAAAACGACCTCAGATTTGAATTTTTATGGTTCCGTTAGCTCCGTTAGGTGATTTTGGACTTAGGAGCGCGTCCGGAATGTGATTTGGAGGTCCGTAGTAGAATTAGACTTGAATTGGCAAAAGTTGGAATTTTGACGATTTTGTCCTGTAGTGGAAATTTTGATATCGGGGTCGGATTGGATTTCCGAAAGTTGGAATAAGTTCGTGGTGTCATTTTTGACTTGTGTGTAAAATTTGAGGTCAATCGGACGTGGTTTGGTAGGTTTCGGTGTTGTTTGTAAAATTTAAAAGTTTAGAAGTTCTTTATGCTTGAATCCGGGTGTAATTGGTGTTTTGATGTTGTCTTAAGTGATTCGAAGGTTCGACTAAGTTTGCATGGGGTTATATGACTTGTTGGTATGATTGGTTGAGGTCCCGGAGGCCTCGGGGTGATTTCAGGTGGTTAACAGCTTGATGGGAGTTGAGGAATTGCAGCTGAAGCTGCTGTTACTGGTGTAATCGCACCTGCGGAGTGGGAACCGCAGGTGCGAGCCCGCAGAAGCGAAGGAGGAGCCGGAGAAGTCCAAACACATTTTCATTTTCAAACCAAATTTCACCAAAATCAGATTTTTTAGAATAAATTTAGGAATGTATGGCCAAACGCTAACTTAATGTTATGCCACTTGTCATCCTATCTTTATTTTGCCTCTCCTATATATACTATTATATATTTGACAAGAGGGGTTATTTTGATGGTAAGCGATCTCCACTTCCAACCAAGAGGTATGCCGAGTGTGTATTGAAAACAGCCTTTACCTCATGGTAGGGATAAACTTTGGGTACACAGTACCCTTCTCCACACTTAGTGATATTATAGTAGGTTGTTGTTTTTGATAGATGAGCACCACCTTTCGATAGCGACTAAATCCCTAAATTCACCTGCCCTTGGGCTTTTCTCCTCATTCTGCCATTGAATCAAAAAACCCGATTCTTTTTTTGTTCTTCAAAATTCACAAATCACTCTACTATTAAAAAGATCAAAGATTGAGGTATAAGTTTAATTCTATATCTACTCATTAGTGTTCATATTGATGAATTGATATTTGATTTTTTCTTTAAGTATAGTGAAATGAAAAAAAAATGTGTTCTTTTGCAGAGTTTGAGGTTCGGAAATGGAGAAGGAGAGCTATTGCCTCTCTGCCATCTCACCGTTAGATGCTGTACTTCTTTTAACTATTGGTGTGGTCACAATAGTTATGATTCGAATTGTCTATATTGTATATCGGAGAAGCAAACCGTTCAATCCAAAATCACCACTACCTCTCAGTACTCTTATTGTTTTGGGTTCAGGTCTGATTTTTAATTATCTTTTTAGGTTTTGTTATCTTTTGTTCATCTCATTGTTGTAATTTTCTGAAAGTTTGATTGTAATATAGGTGGTCACACAGCAGAAATGCTAAATTTATTAAATGTGCTTCAAATGGATAGGTTTAAGCCAAGGTTTTATGTTGCTGCTGCTACAGATAATATGAGTCTCCAAAAGGCACGCGTGTGTGAGGATTCCTTGGTTGATAAGGTATGTTACGATGTATTTAATTCAATTGGTCGTTATATTCCGTTTGTGTTCTTTTGCTGGGTCAATTTGGGGATTCAAAATATAAAGAAGTAAACACATGAAGAAGCCAAGGGTATTAAACATATACTGTATATACATAAAAGATAAACTTTGACCTTGTATATACAATGTTATTTTCCGGGGAAGGGGATTCAGATGAACCCTTTGCGGCTTGCGCCCCCTAGTGCCACCCCTGGATACCATCATGACAGCCTATTAAGATGAAAAGGCAACATGCGAGTGGAATACAATGAATATTCACTTGCTTCTCTGGCCGAGGAATTAAAAGATTTTTTACATTAGAGTGAAGATGACTAGGAGGCACTTCCTCTTGAGAAGTAGTTTGATAGACATTAATTTGCTTACTTTAATGAATCGAAATATCTCCCTTAACTGAATTTTTGTTCAGTGTAACAGATATAGTCAACAAATTTTGTTGCCTATGGTGTAAATTAGGAAATAATGACTGCTTGAGGTACATTCGCCATCCTCAAAATGGTCAGTACTTGCATGGTTTCGAAAATTCATGAGCTCCATACATGCTATTTAAGCTCACTTAAACATTATTAAATGAATTCACTGATGTCTTGGTTTGTTTGAGGCTGCAAGATACTAAGATATAATTGAGTCTAGAGAGATAAGCTCCTTTTCTCTACTTTAACATCCATCACAGAAAGTAAGATTTACTTCGTAGCTGGGAACAAATCTTAAGATATTACAGAAAAACCCCACAAATTCAGAAGCTTCTGGGATGGATCTGTCTGCAACTAAACAAAGCATCGGAAGCTGAAGGCAACAGCTACAGGAAACGAAAGCTCACAAAAACTGGCGTAGACTACTATATCCAAAAGATCAATTAGTATGGGAGATATGTAAGTATGGTAGCCATACAAAGAAACATGAGAATTGTTCTAATATTGCCGAAGATATTTACAAATGCTCGATGGGAGCACATTGCCAACGGGATTTTGAGATTTGTTGAAAAAGGATTTGCTCACAGGAAAAAACACAACCACTAAGACTGTATTGCTGAGGTTACTGAGATTTATCTGGTACGGCCTGAATTTATTTTATCAACAATGAAAGATGAAGAATAACCCCAATCAGAACTGGTGGCACTATTCTTCAGACAAAATTGGATTTCCTTAGCAGGTGTGAGGTCAGGAGATTCATTGGAAGCTACCAAGAGGTGCCTACGACCTTAAAAATTCAAAAATGTGTTTCAAAGTAAATGGAAGGTATCTACCAAAGTCCAGACTTTAATTCCTCTTAGAATTTCCATAAAGAAGAGAAGCGGAGAGGATCCTTACGGTTCAAGCTATCATATCCACGGATTGGTAGGAATTCCTTGCTAGCTATCCTTATAACTTCATACCTAGCTTCATTTTAGGAATTCATAGCTAGCTATCATTTCTATCAATTCTAGCTATCATTTCTATCAATTCTAGCTATCATTTCTCGGAATTCCTAGCAAGCTATCATTTCTAGGAATTCATAGCTAGCTATCATTTGTAGGAGTTAATAGCGACCATTTCTTGGAATCTGTAGCTATCATTTCTAGAAACTTGTAACTATCGTTTCGAGAAATTCATAGCTATGATTTCTAGGAATTAGTATTGTCATTCCTAGAAATTCGTAGCTATCATTCATGGGAATCCATGGCTATCACTCCTAGGAATCTATGGCTATCATTACTAGGTATCCTTAGCTATCATCCCTAAGAATCCCTAGCTATCATTCCTTGGAATTCTTGGTAATGATGGCTAGGAACTTGTAGCTATCATTTCTAGCAATTCATTACTATCATTTCTAGCAATTCATTACTATACTTTGTTGGAATTCACTACTATCATCTCGTATATGGATGACCAAAAACAATTAAAAACAATTGTTTTATCGTTAGTGAACAGAGTTACCTGCTACCTGTTGTTGGTGGGAGGTGGCATGTATCCCCTGGAATTAGTCGAGGTGCGCGCAAGCTGGCCCCGAAACCACGGTTATTAAAAAAAAATTAAAAATAACTTCTGTGGAATATATTGCAAAAATGAACACTAAGTAAGACTTACACAAAAGAAATATTGCTTAGCGACCTTCTTGGTCTATCTGTCACCATAACTTTCTTAATAATAATTTCTATAGGATTGGTTGGAAAACTTGAAGAGGTTCCGAGCATCATGATGTTTCTCTCAATTTTTGTAGACTTGCAACATCTTGTTGGTAGATTTAGAAAATAACACTTTGTTGACTGATATTCCGAGAAGAAGAACACTTGGGGCTTGTTAGCTAAAACCTTTTCTTTATAGTGCATCAAAGAGTAAACAAGCATATGAATAGTTGTGTAATAATTGGTGTATTTTGAAAAAGCTGCATTCATTCTTGAAATTTTGTTAGTATTATCAGCATATATCTAATACAAGAATGAGTTTATTCATTACTGAGAGTGGTTATTGAAACTTGAAAGTAGCGTGTTAATGGAAAATGTTAGTTATAAAAGACATGTCTTTTCAAAAGGTAGAGTAGTTGTCAAATTCTTTCACTTATGTCTGGTTCATCTATAGGAAAATTTTCTTTCACTTATTGTCTCAATAATTTTGAGACTAAAAAGAGAAACATCTGCATATTTGTACAATTTGTTCCCTTTTTATGCTGAAAACATTTAGCTATCAAGTGTCTGCCCAGCTTTGCTCTATGGTATCTGCTTTTGTCCTTAGAGCTCATCAATGATCTTACTTTTTTTATGTACTTTGGAATCTTCAATTCCAGGTTAAGAGAAAAGTTAGTTTCCTTATAGTAGTACCTTACTTTCTACCACAACATATGCAACCTAGTAGGTCGACTACTCTATCCTTCTTCCCCTCTAATTTTCTGATGCTATATTTTAGATAAAGGAATAGGGTTGCGGTAGGTTGTCGGCCCGCTTAGAAATTGTGAACTCTGTAAATCTCTGAATGTTGAGCCTTAATAGAGCAAAAGGGGTACAGAGAATTCATCTAGCTGATCCCAACTAGCTTTGGGTTGAGGCATAGTTGATTGATCCTTGATATCNCGTTTGATGTTCAATTGCAATTGCAATGCTGTGTCAGTGTGTGTGTTTCAAACTACTCATGAGCATTACTTTTCTGTAAGATTTAATCTTAAAGCTCTAAGCTTTAACTCTCATCAGAAGTTCGTAGATTTATGTCACTATGCAGGTTTCCATATTAAGAAAATAGTGACGATTAGTACTCCACAAAATTATATAACATCCATATTCCCTTTATGTTATTGCATTTAATTTCCTGGAACTATTAGTTAATTAGCGTCAATCTGAAATTGAAAAGGCGTACGTCCTAAACTCATCATCTGGGTCAATCATAACATTCAAGAAAAATGACATTTAAACTAATTATGTATGTGTGTGTATGTATATATACAATTGAAAGAACTTATTCAAAGAGTTGAATAACATTATCCCTCTCACCTAAATAACTTAGAGGCAGGTGAAATAAAAAAACAATAATTTAAAGACTAACTAAACATCTAAATAGACTAAATACTTGGACAAACACCAGAACAAAACAGAAATACTGCTACTTCACATACCCTCGAATCGAGCAGGACGAACATCAGGAAATTTTTGTACTATACCAGAAGAAACATTTTCAATCAAAACTTGACAAGTAGGGCAGTGAACCGAAGTTGTAGGATTACGTTCAGGCGTGTTAATCCAGGACAAATCTCCCAACAACATATTCAAATAACACCTTGTATGCATTGAATGTCCGCAGGGCTCAGCAATAATAAACCACTTACGGCGAAAGTGTGGATACTCACAGCAACCAGAACGGAAATTCAGAAGCATCTCGTCGTTGTGCCCTAGAGGGATAACAGGTGCCAATGGCAACTGCGGATTTGGTGGTTCTAAGCAAGTTGAAGGCGGATACATGCTGTTGAAATAAATAAAACTGGTTTTATCCTCTAACGGACGCTTGCATGTAAAAGTACTTCAGGTCAGTAATAAATTTAACGTCACGTTAGTAAAAGAGGCACTCCACATGGACTGGATGTGCAAAACATTCCATTGGAAAGACAATTCGTTGGCTTTTGCGACTTGGAACTTCTGTTGTGTATGGTGATACTAGTGTGCGTCAGCCCGAGCCCAATCATCGTAGCCAAATTCAAATACATAAGAAATTGCTTATGAGGATACTTTAAAAATCTATGTTTACTTGACGGTCAAAAGGAATGGCAAATCAAGTTCATAGCAGATATAGAAGAACACTTCATGCAGCTAACAGGAAAGACAATCTAATTGCACTAATCACAGCAAAACCAAAATGTAGGAGAATGTTTGATTTTGTAGATATAGAGACATCCACACGAGTAGTTACATTGAAGCAGTATTTATATTTCTGACAAAGTATGCATCAAACTCCATCTTCAAAGGTATGCCACAAGTGTCAAACTTCATCTTCAATGACAAAGCTACTGTATAGATACGCAAGCGTCAAACTCCATCTTCAAAGGTATGCCACTGATTATTTGTCGCGAGAATGAATACTGGTGAGGAGAGAAAAACACTCTCTAACAAAGGATGTTAGTAATGAAAATAATGTTCCCAAATATCTGCAAGCAACAAAAAAATGTCACAAATATGGAATGCAGAGTTTTCGAGCGTGAGATCTTCCACTATATTGGATTGGCATTATTACAGCAAAAAATTTCAGATTTTAAATGTAAAAACAAGAAAAACCGAAGAGAGATTTTTCAAGGCAGCAGTTAATGTTGAAGCAACAAAAAAATTCAAGAAGAGTAGCAAGTCGGGACGAATTGCCAATCTTGATAGCCCTCCTGTTCACAAGATTCGTAAGGAAAAGTGCAGTCTCAAATAAGGAGTTGGAGACCCAAGTACAACGTTGAAATATCTATTTGACTAATAACTCACCTAAGTTGTGGTCACAAAGATACTTTGACCTTCTAACATCTTCTGTATCTGGTTTTTTAAGTCTCTGCACATTTAAATGTAAGGCATAGAGTTTTCAACTACACTTTCTGTACCTATTTTTAAACACCTTGCATGTAATTTGTGTTTCCTCCTAAAAGAAAACATGTAGTTGTATCTCAGAAGAATTCGGTGCATAAAGAGCATATATTAACAGGATAACTCCACGAAGATGAGAAGCCTATCCATAAGCATGTCAATCAACATGTTCAGTCAGAGGACTCAATTTTTTTTAATAAAAAAATATAGGTGTCAATTATAGGACCCTTAGTTTACTGAAAGAGAATGTTTCGAACTCTTTTAAGGATTATTTGGTGGTGCGGTCAAATTCATCTATAAATTACGGTAATTTATGTGACTTATCAACAGCAAAAGAACTCTAGTTGTGTGTCGAGACAACAATTTCTAGTTTAAGGGATAAGCTCCTTCACAATTATATATGAGTATGAACTTCAGCTAACAAAGCAACAACAAACTACACATTGCATTTTCTTATGGCATTAACAATATATGTCTACATATACAACAATGGTAGATCTCCATAATCAAATAGAAACATGCTGCACTTATTTTTCTTAAGAAAGGGAAAAGGGAATGAAGAAGAAGAACGAACTGAACTCAACTTTTTCACTAAGAACTGTTTTCTATGCACTTCCATTACTTTGATTTTGTTTATATCAATTTCTCTCTCACTTGTTCTTTCCATTGCTAATTGAACAGAATTACCTCATTAAATACTTATTGAACATACTAACAGAATCTACTTGTTTATTTCTCATCCAGTAATAAAATATATATACATATAATTTATCTTTTAGATACCCAGTGTTGAGTTTTTTCATAAGTCAGATCCATCCCCATTGTTTATCTCAGTCATCCTGCTTTGAAAATTTAAAGACTTCAAGTTGAATTTTTTTGATAAGTAAGAATTCAACTTGAAATTACATGGATATGTTTCCACTAAAAGGCAAGTCCTTATTTTTCAGCGTTTAGGATCAACAGCCACATCTGTCATATTTGTGTGGGCATCGATGTCTCAGCTTCACAGCTGTTAATATGACTATCATAAAAAGTACTCTTCCATCATGGCCCAATCCGAGGTTATACGGAAGAAATTGGTCAGATCCCATACACGGGTGACATAACTCATATCATTGCTATAATCCATGCTTACTACTTTTTTTAGTAAAACGAAAAAAGCAATCTTTGAATATTGACACGCAAAGTGCAGCGATCAGTAAGTCGTTACGAAGCAGGGTGATCAAGACATGAAGGGGAAATGGAGAAGGACTTAAGCAACTCTTAAGACCAGCTATTCATGCACATAATATGTTTATTCTATAAATAGGACAACAGAATCTTATGTAGAGGACCAAATTGTAAAGTCAAATAGAAGTAAATTATGTGCCTTTTAAGTTGTTGAATGATAGATTTGAATGTTGCAAAAAATCTGTTGAAAAAAAAATACAACAAAATATTATTAGTGGTTTCACGCATATAATCAAACACCTTAAACGTGCACGGTGCGGTAGTGCTCAAGGTGTTTTAAATGAACCTCATCTTGCATAAAATACGTAAGGAAGAATATGTAAAAGATTACAATTAGAAAATAACTTTTCGGCGAAGAAATTCTGACTGCATAATGTTTATGAGTTATAGCTAAAACCACCAAAAGTAATCTCAATTACCGGGTATTTTGGAGATAATCTTGCAGAGGTTTTGATATTAGCAGAAAAGCACTCAAAATTCCAGTGCTGGCCTACAGATTTATCATATTTACTGTCAATGTGTAATTGAAAAGAGAAATTAAAAACAAAACTCTAAGAAAACGCGAACGAATGAGAAAAGTAAGAACAATCAGTTGGTTAGGTATATTCTCAAACACCCTAGGTCCATCAGAGGGCAAACCTGATATGATTTCTAACATGTATGGGAAATCTAGCAAGATAATGTCCAAAAGAACAAAAAAGCTACCAGATATCCACCAAAATTCTGTTGGCAATAACAGGGTGCGTTAAAAAAAAGGCTGAGTATAGAAAAGCTTAACTGGACAAGATTAAGCATATAGCAGAAAAATTAAGCACATAAACAAAATTAAGCACACACCAGAAAAATATAGAACTCGAATTGAGAAATTTATGAATTTGACAAAAAGATCCTCGACTACAGATGAATGCAAGCATGACATATTGACATTTGCCAACACACCAAGCAAGAGGAGCAAAAGATTCAAACTAAACTCACGGGTAAGAGCAGACAGTAGACGGAACCACGGAAGCAACCAAATCAGAAGTACAATCAGAACAAAGGACAAACGATTGGAGGCAAAATTAGTAGAAGCATCATTTATAGAACAAAGAATAATGAAGAGATTCACAGATTGTAATACTCTAAACCATTTAGCAACACAAAGCTATATTCAAAAACTCCACTCTTTTTAAAAATGTCACCTTTCTACAAAATAGCAGATCAAAAAAGAGACTATTGATGAGGAAAAAAACTCTGACTAAACAAGCAAAATTCATCAGCTTTCAACATCTAAGAACTGCAAGGAAACCAAGTCCGCATAGCAGAACGAAAAGTAGGCGCATTGGAGCAACAAAAATTTAGTGTTGCAACAGCTTGTTCCCCCCCAAAAAGTTCCAATACAACTTGCATAATTGAACATCAAATGTGAAATTATACTAAGAAAAGAGCACCCACACGATGATATAGATGACTAAGTCGGGACTCGAGTGTTAAACTCTTGCCCAACAATGTTCTTAAACTCATGAAAGATATCTTTGCAGTTATCAGTTCAACCAAATAAATCATCACCTAAAAAGTTGATATTGGAGAAAAATTGCACAATATGGCAACATACTGCTGAAAACAACGCTTAAGCAACAGATTACTTTATGTTTCACCATTTTTTAGCCACTACAATGAAAACACATGTATCATAATTCCGCAGAAATCCAACATAAAAAATAATTAAGAAAACAATCTGTACCAAAAATTCAAAACTAATGTACAAAAAGCTTAAAACTTTTCATATAAAGATGGCAAATTGGAGTACGCAAAATCCCATAAGCTTTTTACAATAGAGATGAAGGAAAAGACCCTGATTAAATAGCCTACGACCCTCCCTCTCAAATTTTACAGCAGGGGAATTGCCATTATTATCAAATTAAGAGAGGGGGGAGTAGAGTTTTTCTTTTGTTTAATTTAACTAACTAAATCCCATAAGTTTTTTACAATAGAGATGATATACTAACGCCATGAAGATGAAACTGTGTAATTTCACAAACAGTCGCAACCAACCGTTTACCCAATTTGAACAAAAGAAAGAAAAAACGAAAAGTCACCTTATAACTAACACAGCCAACAAGAGAAGATTCAAAAGACAGGAAAGTTGGAGAGCAATTGAGTATATCGGAAAACCTGGATAAAGAGCAGTAGAGGCGCACGTCAGAACCGGGGAAACTACGGATTCCACGTCTGTTAAAAAAAGTTGCAGTTTTCCCAAAATGTCCTTGACGACCCCAAGCTCCTCAACTGTCCTTTATTAGTAAGAGGAATAATAGCAGTAGTAAGGGTTGCCCGAGTAAAGCCCGGGCCAACATGAACAAAGCTATCTGCTGTAAGTAAAGTTATAATGACAATGTCGGCAAAGAATGAGCTTGCTTGTGTGGGAGAGAAATAGAAGACTACGGAGCTACTACAGGAATGTTATAAGCAAAGGCAATTGTTAGTATTTCCTTATAGGTTTCCCCAACTATGCCACAACCGAAGCTAGCATTGTTGCGAGCTAATGCTGAATTTATCGTGGAAAGTTCCATTAGAACAAAGTTATGAGATAGAGTAAGGTTAAATATTGGAAAAATTAACACCTATGTATACCAAGAAAATTCATTTGAAAAAAAAAGAACTCCTACACTGCACCCAATATAACATATATATTAGATATATCATCTGCTACTGCAGATAGGCTGAAAGCTTCAATTATGCCAAATCTTAACCTATGAGAAGACACCAAATAAAATAGCATTAATTGATTTAATTCTACTTTTCACATTATCATACGTAAGAAGAACAAATCTAACTATTGGCCTCAATGACTTCACCGTTTCATACTACATGACTCAATACAAAGTAAAAGATATCAACTAAACATGGTAGATGCATTAACTTATTTCTCTGCTGCACTACTCCATCAAAAGCATAGGCACCATTGCTAAAACTTAACTTTCTGGAAATTTAGTTAAAACAGGAAAATAGTGCTATGATCTGTGTCTGCTATCTCCTTCAAAAGTAACTTTTATTGCCGCAAGCAAGGAAGTACTGAGCTGTTCAACAACTTGGTCAAGGAGAACTATCAATAAGCTAATTATGGTATCACTTTGGATATTATTGTTTAAATAAATGTTAAATTTTTTATAAGGATTACTGTTTAAATGTTAATATTAAGATTCAGTTTGAAGAATTCCCTTTTTTCTTTCCTGTTCATCGTGACAGACAACAAATAATAAATTTAACATGATACAATAAAAAAGCGTCAAAACATTCGTACTATTTCAGATGTATCTTCGGGAGACAAAATGAGAATATCCCAAGTCCTAGAAGCAGGTACATGTAACATGAGGTGAAGCAAGGTTGTTCTTTCCATTAAACTGATTAAAAAGAATTAACAAGGAGTTGTCCATTTGCCAGTAGGAGTTGCTGGATGGCACATTCTTCACCAAGCGGAATGCATCTTTTTTATGGGTGTTATACTTTATTTTCCTCTTAGATTAATCTATTACTAACTGCTTTGATGCTCAAACCTAAGCCTGAAATATTTTCAATGAACCAATAGCAAAATTAAATGAGCTCTCTTTAGCAGAACACTTCTCTAGTCTTTCGTCATCTCTATCAGGATGGCTGAGCCAATTTCGTGAGGTTCTGTTCTCAATGTACTTACCTATGTGTCTTCAGTCTGTTCTACATCCTTGCCTTTATCAGGAGAGATGCTCCTCAGCTTATGTTTCCTTCAATAGTTATTGTGATCTTTTAACAACGGACCTGTGCATTAACAGAGTGTTTCGCAAATAGGTCTGAGAGAGAATATACATGCCAAAGAAAAAGTCTTACACTGAGCATCCATTCCAAGGATTTTGCTTGTATAAATACCCTAGCAACTAATAGAATTAGTTTAAGTTTGGACCATAATTGACTCTTGTTTGAGTGTGTCGAGACCAACGATACCAACGTCTAAATCTCCTGATACCAACTTCCGAACAATGTATTTTGGCTGTTGAAACGAAACTTCCAGATTGGATATCTGCAACCCACAAAGAAAAAGAAGTCGTGTAACTAAAGTAAATCATGTGTTCTCCTGAATAATAAGCTCTAGATTTCCAAAGAGATAACCCAAAAGATGCAAAGCTTAAATGAGAGCTTTCAATAAGTATGAAAATGCCAAATATTCAATAATACAGTCTGCCATAATATCAAACTGAGTGTGAAGTACAACAGTCAAGATATTCACCATATCTTGCTCTAGAGACTTATAGATAACAATGTTACCACCAGCAGAAATGCGATGTCACTTCCCTTTAAAGTGGAAGAATACCTCAGTTACTATCCAATATATTGGTAGAGGTAATCTGAACTTAAAATAGTCCAGAAGGACATCAATAGGAAAAGCCTTAAAATAAATTTTAAACAGTGATTTACTCTAGAAATTACTTCCAATGCCACAAATGCAATATCAGGATCATTTATCTAATTTTTGTGCAGCTTCGTCAACTTATCCACCTAAACACAACATTGTAATTAAGGGTTTATTTGTAAAACCAAAACAACCAGTTTAACATAAAACCATGAGTTTTTATAAAGAATCTTAATCAGAATTGAACATAAATGTTTCTGTAAAAAAGCATGCCAAGAGAACTCCATGTGTGTGGGTTTTATCGTTAATATAACATAGTTTATCCCACATTTATAGAAGCTTACTTCTGGGTAGAATGCCCAAAGAGCTTTGGCTTGGGTGCTCGAACTTCCTATGAGATGTTTTCTCCTTCAATATGTTAAAAAACGCAATATAAAAACAATCAGTTAAGCTTCAATCTAAAACAAATTAGAGTGAGCTATACGAATTATCTGTAACCATTCAGCTCACTTTGGCCACAATACTACTTCGCTTATAAATATTTTTTATTATACTGAAAAGCAGAAGCATGTAATGTAAACCATCAGTAGCAAATTAAATATGAACCTGTTTGGAAGAGTAGCATTTTGTAGTACTATTTCTGAGTCACAAACGCCAGCAAAAGAGCCGCCACTAACATGTTCGTTATAGTCTACCACTACAACTGGAATAAGAAAGAAAAAAAGGTTACACAAAATACTTTATTAAAAGTAAGATATGGAAATATGTGTATACAAAATAATAAAGCATGGAAAGAACAGAAGATCTACGGAATCATCTTATGTCGAAAACATAAATCGGCTGCCTTTCGAATGATTTCATCATAATCAATGTTATATGCAGAATGATCATCATCGCTTGTCGGCGTAGGTGGCTGAATCAGCAATGTTACGCTATTCGAATTTTTTGTTCTCGATAATGCAACATAAAGTTGACCATGTGAAAATATAGGTTCCCCCAAAATAAATCCCTACAAAATCTAATGTTTGATCCTATGCTTTATTTATAGTCGTAGCAAAACAGACTCTTACTGGAAATACGATTCATGAACAGTAATCGACACACAGATATAACCAGTATAATTGAAGCCACCTGTGTTTCATTTTTAGAAAAATTGCCTTCTTGCCTAACATTCTAGAAGGGGAAAAAAGGAGTTTACTTTCAAATATCAGTCCATCTAAAAATGTTAAATCAATAAAACATCTCACTTGGAATTAGTTTGATGCTTCTCTTGGTTTTGTTCAACTTGAATATCGAATAGAACTTGTGGTGCGAAAAGGAACTTACAAATAGCAGATATACGCAGAAGGCGAGAAAACACAAGAAAAGAAGAGGAACACAAAACAGAACTCACCGGATAGTAGATCCACAGAAAACACAGCTAAACGTAATAGTGCCAGAGAACAGAAAAAGAGATGAGAAAAGGAATTTGAGGAACCGAAAAATTTGTGCGAATTTTTGAGTTTCAACCTGTCTGGAATTACCCTGGAATGATAGTAAAAAAGAGCATAGAAGAGACGGTAGTAAGGATTAGAACTGCCTGAGGGAGAATACAGCAGCAACTCAAATTTTAGGGATATACACGTCAGAATTGGGGAAACCACGCATATCTAATTCTTCCCTCATCCGGCACAACCCACCCTAACAGATCATGTTTGAAGACTGTAGTGTTGAGTACGTTGACATGTCAACAGAAGATTGGAAATTTTGTAACTATCTTCTGTAATCAGGTTTTTGTCCCAGCTTTTCATTTAAGGTTCAATCTATTATTTGTCCCAGTTTTTTCTGGACGACCGACAGAAAATGATGGACCAACAATTTAAACAATTACAACACAGCAGCTATTCCAAAAATCAGGAAAATAAGAAATCAAAACTCACCTTATAATTGTACAACCAGCTGGAATAAACTGTCCACGAAGAGAAGACTCAAACAGACAAAGGAAATTGGAAGAGAGTTGAGCAACTGTGACGAAGACCAGTGTAGAGACTCTGCAAATCCGGAGGAAGCAGAGTATTGAAGCCGAGCATTCGTTTGAGCGGTGTAAAGGCCAAAACTAAAGCGCGTGTCAAAACTAAAGTAAGGTTAGCACGTGGCTTAGGCTAAAATATTTGCAGTTTTCCCAAAATGCCCTTACGACCCCAAGCTCCTCAAACTGTCCCTTAATAAGACCTTACGACGCCAAGCTCCTCAAACTATCCCTTAATAAAATATACTTAGTGGGAATGGCCCGGGCCCAAACTTCATAAAAATAGCAACTTATATTAATTTATAAAGAAAATAAATTACATTCTATAGGGAACAAATATGAATTGATTTGTTAAACATTATGGTCTCTGTGAGTCTGAGACGAAGAGCGTCGTGATCACTCTAAATTATTCCTTGGATGACAGTAAGTTTCTTTCGATTTAGTCTTAGAAAGTTGGATATACGTCTTCTCCTGATATGTACATACGTGTTTGAAGATCGCTAGCATGTGTTTGACAGGT